GACGAAGGTCAAGGGCCTAACTGCATTGTCATTGACTCAAGTGAATAGTACCTCGAGGACCTATTTGTTTTAAATCGGCTGAAAGTTTAGAAAATCATAGTAATTCATAGGAAATTCGTAAAATAGCAAATGAGGACTTTTGGAATCCTTGTGAAATTCTCTATGCACTAGATCTATAATATTACATGTTTTACTTTAAAGTTTTAGCTGTAAAAATATATTTATGCAGCTAGGTTTGTAATGCTAGTGGTATTTGTTTTTTTTATAACTGTAGATCTAGGGCTTCAAATGAAGTGAAATTTTGTGGCATGCTACTCATGTTATGTTTGATGTGTGATAAAAATTTCATGAGTATTGGATGAAGTATGAGTGAGTTATTGGTTTATCTTGCTCTCACATGATTTCTTGCTTTAGCGACTTGTCTTTTCATAGAGGTTGCTATACATATTCAAATGGAGTGAAATTTGTACAGTAGACTATTCAGAGAATATGTGAGCCACTGTAATTTTAGTAGAATTTATTGTATACTTTTGGTATATGTTCATTAAGTCACCTTGTTATCTAAAATAAATTAAGAAATGCATTAAAAGAATTTATTTGGTCATGGACACTAGGTTTTCTGGTGTTATTTAGTCATGTGTGACATGTTGGTAAAGTTGGTTTTGCCTAATTATGTGTTTGCAACATAAGTTAATATTTATTTTCTTGCAAATGTGGTTTCTGGACATATCTGGGAACTTAGCAAAGTTCTTCATGATAATATGCTTTGTTGTGAAACTTGTTTATATAAAAGTTGTAGATAATTAATGTATCTAGCTACTGTTAAAATTTGGTGTCATTTGGCCTTGTAGTTTGTGAGTTATGCCTGTTTAAAGTTAGGTTTTAGAAATGGCTGCTCTCTGTCAATCGTGGATCAGTTTCTGTAAATGTACAATTTCGACCTACTTAACTTGTGAATCATGCTATGCTGGTTATAGATGAAATGTAGATAATTTCATAAGCTTTCCAAAATGTCTTCTTGCAAGTCATTTGGATTTGTGTAACTCCAGTTATAGCTAAATCTTGTAGCTGCTGTTTGCATGTCCAGAAATTGGCAGATTTCAATTATAGTGTTTGCTTGTATATTGTTAAGTGTGACTTATGCCTTGAATGATGATTGAGTTAGAGCACCTGAGATCTTGGAAAACTTGTGTCATGCTTGGTGTTGTCGTCTTCTTTGCCATCTTAGCATGATAGGATGTGTGATGTTAGTTAAATAGCTATTGGTGTCTATGTCTTGCATAATCTTGTGTTTGTCTTGAATGCTTATGTGATGCATCTTGTGTTACCATTCATCACATTCATACACATGCATCTTGCATCTCATCTAGGTGCGCTAGATGAACCACGTGAAGGATGAGATGTTGGAGCCGAACCCGAAGACGGTGTATGGTGGACCTATCCCGAAGGTGGAAGGACTGGACAAGTGCTAGAACGGGAGATGCTCACTTAGCGACTGTCGTCTACCTAACACTGACTTGTGTCGGATCCCAGGCAAGCCCCGGAGCATTCTAAGTCTCCCATGTTTTTACAAATATCTTGAGTATCTTTTATTGTTGATGATGCATTAAGTATAGGAATTGGTTGGAACCAATTGTTGCATTATATCCCTACCTTGTCCAGATAAAATCCTGTGAATCCTAATTAAGTGTAGGATTGAATGATGCTTAGCTATGCATAGACCGGTAGAAGTCGGGTGGTTTCCTGTCACCTGCGAGATGTAGGATGAGCTCTGGTCACGGTTGGCTAAAATGGCTATCATGAAAAAGAACCATGTGTTAATAATGAAAGTAGACCGGACGGGATGATGGTAGTGCAGCAACAAGGCATGGAGGTCTTGGGTGTGAATCTATCCCCGTCTGTGTCGTTTAAGGACCGATACGTTGTATGCCCCTCATGTCATGTTGAACGCAGCCTAACACTTAGCTGGCGGATAAGTCGTTCCGACCGCTGAAGCCCTAGTAGCTCGACTCAGGCCGGGGACGAGAAGATGGCAACGATTCTGGAGGTAGTAAGGATGTGCGGAGAGCCATTGGCATAAGTCCAAGGCGGGTTAGAGTCCCGAACAACCTTGGCGAGTGGTTCTCTGAGAATGTTGATCTGTTCGACTCGCGACTCTGAATCGTACCAAAGGTGACTCGTTTGCGACCACGACGGGGAAGCGGGGGTTTGTGTTTAGGAATACCCCTCCAAATTGGATAGGAATCGATTCGAATCGCCGTCTCTCCCGGATAGTGAGAACTTGACCGAGCAAATGACAACGTAGATTCACTAAATTTAAAGATATGGTTAAATGATGATGATGATAATGACAATGAGCCATGAAATACCTGATATGGTTATTATTGTTTGCAACTTAATCAAGTGATTGATTAGTACATGTGCTAATATAGATGGTAGGTAATGGCTAAAAGTCACTGCTAGTACAGGTGAATAATGCTAATGTTTACTCAAGATTTTATGCAAAAAGGTTGTCTAGCCAGATCCACTAAATTAAGCTATGCATGATCCTTGGTGTCATTTGTTTTGGTTTTCGACGGGTAAGTCTGGCTGAGTACATTCGAGTACTCAGGGTTTATCCCACCATGTTGCAGGTGAAGTTCTCGGCCTGTTGAAGATGGTGGCTAACCACCGATGGGCTCGGTGATTCTATAGTTACTTCTCATCTATATGCTCTTGTCGGATGATGTCACTTATGCTAGCAATATATTTGGAACTTATATTAATGTAATCATTTGAAAGCTATGTTGTTTTCACTAAGCGGTTTTGAAACCTAAACTTGTACTTTTATTTGTGAACCCATATGTAATATTATTTCCGCTGCAACCCTGTGTATGTGATGTGTATTTGCTTAATCACGCGATCTTGGTTGTGATGTTGATTTACCGAGGTCTTTCGGGACACTCGGCGGACTACCGGGTTTATATGAGTGAAGGTATGTGTGTGTCAACGTGTTAGCGGGGACAGCCATACTTGATCTTGTATAAATTGGGCGGTTCTGTTACACAGAGGTTTCACTCAAGTATTCCCTTCTGATGAGAAAGTATCTTGTCAATAGTATGACCCTTTTTTGTTGATTATCTGACTACTTTTCAAAACATGTGCACTATTTTGCTCCTTATCAAAATCCTGCTGAGAATGCTAAATCAAATGCTGCAAGCGCTCAATCGTGCTGGTGGCAAGGCAGGAAACAAGGGTGCTGAAACTGCTCTTACTGCCGTAAGTAAACCTTCCGTCGGCAATCTTAATTTCAAATAAACATAGATGTACTACCAGTTGACAAGCTCAAGTTCCCTGCAGATTGAGATGGCCTCTCTGTTCCGGCATCACTTAGGTTGACACTTTGTGTATTCTGATTTCTATACACGAGGCGACAACATTTCTTCCTATCAAGAGTTTTGGCTAATAGAGCTTTTCCACGGCTAGTATAATTATTTCCAAATCTGTTGGTCCGGTGCTGATTGGTTGCTTTCTTTCTTTGAAATTTGAAAGCTCACGAGACATGTTTGTATACCTGACACCGTGAATAATTGTGGCCAATAAAAAATATGGTCATGAATTTGCACTAGTGCTTTTCTTTCTTTGAAATTTGAAAACTCACGAGACATGTTTGTAAACCTGACACCGTGAATAATTGTCGCCAATAATGAAATACGGTTATGAATAAAGTTGCACAAGTTGCACTAGTATTTGGTATTATGGATGAGAGTATGAGAGTTTTGGGGTGAGGTCTACCATGGTTTTTTTTGGGTGAGGTCACCTGTGAGAACTGAAAAGAAACACAGTCGGGCCCCACTCGCTGCTCCAGCAGAACTCTCCCTAGGCGGGCATGCACATCTCCAACAGATGCGCTCGTGAATTCGTGATGGCTTTGCGTCCGGTGTTGCATGATTTCAATTTGCATCCCAGAGGGCAACTCAAATGGCATTGGAGTTTTTGTGAACGTGGACATGCATGCTGCTTGCTGCGCCAGTATGGGACTACAATGCAAGCGCAAACCGGAATTTTCTACCTTCCGATCTTATCCTGACTATAAAATTAGCCACAAATGCCAAATCTTATTGCATATCATGTACAGGAATCGATAAGTCTTGAAATAGCTGTAGAACTAATGCAAAGCCTATTGGCCTCTCCTGTAAGTGCTAATGCCTGGTAAAGATCTAGTCTAGTACTATCCATCAAGCTAAAACTAGGACATAGCCGACTATGTTTATGGCGATACCCGAACATTGGTGTCGACACAACATTGAGGAACTGTATTACTGTAATACTGAAGGTGAGAGGTCCGCCCTCCTCAGCTATATACAAGCACAATTGACGATCTTCATCACCAGACAGTAATGACGGACTGCACGCCCTAAATTGTTTCCAAAGCGTGTTACAGATCTCAACTGGTGGTGTCGTCTTCTCGAACTCGCACTTCTGTATCTTCTTCCCATTCTTGTCAATGGTATCTGATTAAAAGCTAAGGACTTTCGCAATGCCATGACTTTTTGTTAATGTTCGCTGTTAGAGAAAGCTGATATGAAGTGCAAAAACTAAGCCGCATAACCTTTTACATTTAACATGAGTCATATTCTTTTCTCTGAATAGGGAAAACCACAATAAACTGAAAGAATACAGCTTGAGATCTTATCCTGGTCTTCCAAATTTGGGAAGATATTTGTAACTAACACACACATGCAAAGTTTATATCTGCATAAGAACAAGTGAGTGAGTTATTTTAACTCAGAAACAGGGTAGGCAACAGAGATAATACTGTTATAGCTCGATTCATGTTGAGCTAAGAGGCACAATTCAAAATATAGGTAGCTTTCATGGGATACTGTATCCATACAATTCGAACATCTCGCCAGTTTTCAAACTGAGTACAATTACAGAAGCTGAATGTACTGGGAATTCGTCAGGAACATAAAGAATGATTCTCAACTTACGTGGCCTTCCGCATGTCTTTATCCTTCTTAATAGCATCCTTCCTCTCTTCTATAGAAGCCATTTACTGGTTTGGCAGCAACCCTCCGGCGCCACACATACACTGACGCCTCGACACGGTTTGCGATTTCCAGGGCCTGGTACTCCGTGGACAGATCCAGGCAATCAAGAAGGCACTCAGGAGAGAACTGATCAGATGTTATGTAGCGGTATATGATATCACCTAAGGTTGCCCTTCCATTCTGAAATCAAGTTTAGTGCAGCATGTTCAGAACTGACGCTAAGAAATGCTGTGGACATTGCACATTCATGAGTTTTGATTACGGAAGAACGCATGGTATACCTTTGGTAGGGAGTCAAGATAAGATTCAGGGACCTCCATTTCTGCTAAAGCATTGCTGTTGATGGCCATGGCAGCCTTCAGGATTTGGTTTGCACAATCACGTTTGTGCTGGAGCTGCTTCCTTGTTTTATTGTGAAGGCCACCGGGAGGCACGCGAGGCACTGGGAGCCACCATTTCTCATCACGGCGGTGAAAAGCCATCCTAAAGGACGCAGAGCCGTCGCAATCTGGTGCAGCAATACCTTGCTCAACATACCAGAACTCTGGGTCTCTGAAGCTGGACTTTTCGATCAACTGCAATGCATTCACAGTTCAGAAAAACTCACAATGAGCATATGATCCAGCTTTAATCCAACTCAAACTGGTATAAAAAAAAAGCTATCTGAAAGCTCCTAACAGAACAAACAACATATTATGTGTATTTCTATCTACACCTAAAAAATAACCAAGGTTATCGTCATATCGCCCCGCTCCTCCGGAGTCCTGCTGAGTCCGCATCGCGGCTCCGTCACCCCGCTCTCCCTCCACCGGTCACAACCAAACGGAAGTAGAGTCCATGTCGGGGACGAGATCGACAAACAGAAAAAGAAGCAGAGTCCCCGTCGGGCGCCGCGCTAGCCACGCGCGTCGCGCGGGGCGACTCCTCCCGCCGCTGCGCATCCGCGGGAGGCTCGCCATGTACGTGCTCAAGCGCGACCTCCACACACAAATAGTTTAAGTTAGGGATTGGGTTCTCAGTTTTGCACAGCAGGAAGGGAAGAGAAGGGCCTGTGAACCTGGTGCGTGCTCATCACCGACGAAGACCTGGGCACGGCTCCAATCCTCGATTCATTCAAATTTCAGAAATTGAGTTCTTTTTACCAACAAAAGAAGATAACTATCAATTCCTGAATGGATCTCCGCTCTGGTCGAATTAGCCGCAAGAAGAGGAAGAGTGGCAGAGTTGCTGCAAAATAATGCACAAGGATTTATGATGTTGCAGCAAAAGAATGGAGTTGCTGCTAAAATCCAAACCCTGGAAAAATAAAGAAGGATGAACAAGAGCTTTATGCTGGCAACCAATTAATCCTATGATCTACAATTGCAAGAAGTCATGTACTACTTTATTTGTACCACAAAACAAGTAGAATGACAGAAAGGAAATTTAGCAGCGCTGATTATCATCATATATGCTAGTCAAGTTGCACGCTGGGAAGTTATCTTATTTGGATTTGGCGAACAAATTGCTAGATCGGCTGCTATTTTTCCAGCTCCGCACCAAGATGAACAAGCCATACTAAAATTAAGATTTGGCTCCACAACATGGGATTCGACATGCAATTGAACCAGCCATCACATGTGCGGGTGTCGTCAACACCCCCAACAGTTCGCTCATGTGGAACTAAATTAATACTGATTGCCAGCATAAAGCTGTCACAATAGCTGGAAGCCTAATCCATGCATCATAGTAATTAAACTAAGGGTTAATTGGATCTATGCCATTATAATTTCTTCGTTTCTGAAGAACGCCATTACTATTCGCCTATTTGGAAACATGCCATTACAATTCTTCGTTTTCCACAAAAATGCCACTGAATACATATGGACACAGCCTGGACCCAGCTGCAGACGTATACAAAGACGTATACTTCATCTCCCTGTCACTGACACGCGGGCCCCACATGTCATCTTCTTCTTCCCCTCTCCTCTCTCTCTCCATCCCGACGCTGCCACGGCCACGCAGCGCAAAGAAGAAAGACACAAGACAGCAAGCGATGCAAGCAAGAAGCACCAGCGCAGAGGTGGTCGTGCGGTCACGCCGGGCGCCATTAACTTGGTGTTCCGGTCACCAGGAAGGCCGACGAGTGGCGGAGGAGGAGGAGCGGTCCACGACGAACTCATTGGTGGGGCCCATGACGCCGGAAGGTGAGGTCATGGTTGTCTTGCAGAGGGGAAACTTGGCGACGGCGGCGAGATTCGGTGAGGATGGAAGGAGGTGCTCTAGGCGCCGATTGATGCCAAAGAGCTGCTGCTTGGATGCGTCGTCTCCTTGCGATGCCAACGGAGGAAGCGAAGAAGTGAACGGTGGTGTCTCGGGGCTGATCGAAGAGCTCGACCCCGGTGCGGCCATGGCGGCGGCGGCGCTTGGGAGAGCGCGGCAATGGCGCTAGTCGCGGATCGGCGACAAGAAGCGGCCGGGCGGTCTCGTGGTGTCGCTACGGTGCCAACGGTGGAGCGATGGAACCGGAGGTGGTCTGTGGTGGGAGGTCGGGGAGCTTTGGGCTAGGCCCGGCAATGGTGACGCCGCCTAGCGCCTGGATGGAGAGAAACCGGAGAGAGAGATTCGAGAAGAGGAGGAAGAAGATGACATGTGGGGCCCATGTACGATGATGAGGAGATGAAGTATATCAACTAAAATGATTATTTTGTGTCCATATTGGGAGGCATTTTTGTGGAAAACGAAGAATTGTAATGGCATGTTTCCAAATAGGCGAATAGTAATGGCGTTCTTCAGAAGCGAAGAAATTATAATGGCATAGATCCAATTAACCCTTAAACTAATGCTTGTGATCTACAATTTGTCAAACAGTTTAGACCTAGATCTTGCAGTACAAGAACAAGATGCGAGATTTGCTCGCAAGTCTAGATCGACTAAGAAATCAAGTAAGAAGCAGGGAATGAGTACCTTCTAGGGCGGGTGTAACGCCATGAGAAGCGAGAGCGTTGGATCACGGCGGGTGGGCGACCGATGACGACAACAATTGAGGTGAGGAATATCTCCCGATGGCGGAGGTGACCGATGGTAGAGGCGGCCGAGGTAAGGACGGAGGAGGTGGACGAGGTGACGGCGGAGGAGGTGACCGAGGCCATGGCAAAGACATGGCGCGTTGGTCGCGACCATCGTCCTATCGCATGGGGAAGCGGCGCCGGATGCGTGGGGTGACGAACCCCTTTGGGCGGGGATGGGGATGAGGGAGGGGCGTGCAATGACCTTATTACCATTAGTTAAATAAAATCAACTAAAATGATTATTTTGCAGAGGCATTGGGAGGCATTGAGAAGCATCCCCATATATATATATATATATATATATATATATATATATATATATATATATATATATATAGCTGGCTACATAATATGATATTTTGTAGCCGGGTCGTTGTGTCGCGCCGGGCTGATCCAGTCCGACCACATGTTGTCCCAGCGCCTCGATCCTCATTCACCACTCCCCTCGATCATCATTAATGAATCCTCATTCACCGCTCTAGCTAGTGTCTGCCGCCGACACCGCCCTCTTCGTCGCGCCTCGCGCCTCTTCCCTCGCACCCGCGTCTCACCCCCCTCCTGCCGCCCTTCCCCTCGCCCCCTGCACCTGCTTGCCATTGAAGACCCTTATCGGATTTGCCGACGCCCTTCATCCTGCTACAATCCGAGATCACCGCGCAAGAATATGATTCGGCTGCTTCTCCGTATCAATGCCGGATTGATCCATAAATGAAGGAATATCCCCCAAATTTCGTTGCAGCTTCCTCTATACCGCAGCCCCCTACCACGGCATCCTGATTAGCGCAGTCCGCTGCTCTTCTTGGCTGCTGGAGAGGCCCCAATCCTCCATTGGAAGTGGCTGCTGCAGAGGCCGGTCCTGAGATTTTTTTGACCTAGAACAAAACTAAAATTTTGGGCCTTTTTATATAAACATGATAATACTAGTCCCATTCATGGCCAGTATATATACACAAATATACAAAATGTTACTAATAAGCAGTTAACTGAATGCAAAAGCAATATTCATGTGAAATAATTTGTATACATATTGAATTACCTCAAAATTTTCTTCTAACATTCCTCGATGCGAAGACCTCGATGATGGGGTCAATATCAATCTCCAACAATCGTTTCTCAATGATTAATGTTTCCAATCCATTTAACCTTTGGATCTTCTGGATTAGCGTTAGCTGGTTCCTTCATATCTCAAATCATATATTAAGAAATTTATGAAGAACCCCTCTCTGTTATTGTATCAAAACATCTATTCGTGTTTTCTTCTTTCTTTTGTCATTGTCAGAAGCATACTTTCTTGATGACATGGTACCGTTAAAATTTAGAGAAACAATTAGTCAAAGATTAAATAATTTGCAAATCTAAAATTCCAAATGATGTCCGTCCGGGTCTATGAAATCTGAATCAATGATTAACCTTTACCTTAGCGGTCGGCAGTACATGGTTAAGAAATACTCCCTCTGTCCCTTATTATCTGTCATTTTGGTTTTCGTGCCACAAGTTTGACTAGATTTATAGAAAATACGTGCAATATTTGTATCTTCAAATAAATTTATTAAAAACTAGATTAAAAGATCTATCTAAAGATATCGATTATGTATCATAAATATTAATATTTTATATATAAATTTAATCAGAGTTATTTTTCAAAAAGCGAGAATGACAGATATTTAAGGAGTAGGGAATTAGGGATCGTATAGAAGATAGGACAGAGAATCAGAGATTCGTACATATGCGGATCACGTATTCACGTTCAGTCTCACTCGTTCACGTGTGGCCGTGCCTGCCTGCAGCCTGCCTGGCTACCCGCCGCCCGCTGGCGACTCGCAGAGCGGCAGAGTCACGGTCATATGCAGAGGAAAGAGAATGAACAGTCACCAACTCCGTGACTCGCAGTTGAAGGCTCAAAGCGTATCGCGTCGTCATGAGGGCCGAGGAGTCGCTGCTGCGGCATGCCTACGTTTGCGACTCTGCGTACGTATGTTTGTTACTAGGCTCACATACGCCAAATACTACTAGTGTCTGCGTACCTGGGGAGGGGCCCATGCGGCTCCCTAGGCCTAGAACGGTTGTCCCTCTCGCCCCGCCCCAGGGCCGGGCCTGTGCAGAGGCCCCAAACATCCACGCCGGGAAGCTGCCTGCTCGTTTCTCTGCTGTCTGCTGGGAAGCTGCCTGCTCGTCTCTACTCTGCAGATCCACATCAGGCTAGCAGAGAGGCTACGGAGGTGATTTATCTTATCCATGTGTCAATTTTACACTATACATACTTGGTTCACTGATACCCACTGCAACTTTTGTTTCCGTGAACAATTGTTTATTTTCCTTTTCTGTTTGCCTTCGCAGTCCCTGTTTACCAATGCGCATTGTTGGTCTGAGTAGGCATCTCAAACCGAGCTGCATAAGTTTACGTGATTCTTGTGATTTTAATTAGTAATTGATGTTCCTGTTTATGGTAAATTTGATCATTCTAACTAAATTTTACCGTCAATTTTAGTACCTATATTCACTGTCCACATGTCTCGTAAATATACTGTAAGTTCTCATAACTATTCTCAGTGCAAAATATTTCTCGTAAATATTACTGTAAGTTCTCGTAACTATTCTTAGTGTAAAATCTTGTAAAAATTTCTCAGTACAAATTCTCATAAATATTTATTACTGCAACGTATTCATGCTATTGTCGTAAATATGCTTACCACATGGCTTACTGTTGATTCTTTAATAGGAAATGAGTCCTCCTAAACTTGTTCAGGGGAGATTGAAATCATTCACCCTGCACACCACACAGAAGGATTTCAACATTGATATAAGTGACGTCACTGGTGTATCTCAGACACTACCACCTCAACCAGTTCATCAGCAGCCACCATTGTCCAGGACCATCGACACGCCATCGTTCAGAGAAGGACGATGATGATGACGACTTCATGCAGCCCCCAACTAGGCACCCGGTAACGAATAATAATCAACGCCATACTACAAATGTTGTTGTCAATGCACGCAGAGATGGAAAACTGTAGAAGAAAAATGCCCCTCGCACGGATCCACCTATGAAGGTATACTGTTGTGACTAAATTATTAATTTTTGTTTGTTCTGTGTACTATATTTTTTTGCCATTTTGTTTATATGGATGTACTTTTTCCCAAACAGTATCCCATTACATTCTTACCATGATGGTTCCTTCTTTTCACTCTTTCTTATTAATCAGCACTTATTTTGAACAATTACACAAGTCCTATGTCTCCTTTCTACAGCTTAAACAGCAAAAGGTTACCAAATATCTTCATGCACCAACTGTTTGATGTGCACCTTCAATTTTCAACTCATTTATTGATCTCCTCACCATGAGCTAGCGTACCAGAATCAATAATATGAATTTTTGTGGCCTCCTCCATATCCGAACAGACAAGCTAGTTAGCAGAGAAATGTTGAAGTATTTGTATGACAGGCTAGACCCTGATACTATGGTATTGGTTCTTGGTAAAGATAGGGTTATACATATCAACCCTTTTGCTGTTAAGCAAGTGTTTGGCATTCCAGACATTGGCGAAGAATTATCCCTACACACAAACCAGGAAGCATGCAAGGCCCTGTCTGCTTTCAAGGATTTTATTGGTTTACAAGAAGATGAGGATGTGCACACCAAGTATCTGCAAGAGATCTGGGAGGCCGACATTGAGTTAGACTCTAGGATGCTTGATGACGACATGTGCATTAAAATTTTCTTCATGATCGCTTCTAACAAGCTGTTGTTTCCTTCCTCGGACAACAACATCAGGGCGAAAGATGTTTATTTGGCTAGGAATTTGTCTCGACTACCCACTATGAACTGGTGCAAGGCTGTTACTGATGAAATCCGAGATGCTGTACGCACGTGGCGACTTGATAGAACAACAAAAGTTTCGCCTTCAATTACAGGATGCGCGATTTTTCTGTTGGTCAGTTTCCCATTTATCATACATAATATGCCTTCAAATATTATGATAGTTGATTAGGTACCCACATGTGTTATAGTAAACTTATTCTCCCATATTTCCATTTTTCTCGGTGTAGATAGTTTATTTGGATAACTTACGCAACAACCACCAGATCAATCACAAGGATATTCCCCGTGCCAAGTACTTTAATCAAGATTTGATTAAACAAATAATTGCTGCTGACAAGACAAACGACGACCAAGGAAAGGTCACATTTGGGCCATTACCGGTGAGACACGGTAACTATTGTCCCCCATTTTTAAACGCAGTCCTCTGTGTCAATGCCTATTTACTGCCACTTACCTTTTTCCATTTTGTGTGTGCAGCTTAATTAGGGACATCAATGATACGGTTTACTACATGCCTCATCATTCTATTCCAGAAAAGCCAGCAAACATACAACCTGTGACTACTATACAGTTCCCTAGCATTCTTTCAGAACTAGGTGGAGTAGTAAATGTGACGGTTGCTAAGCCAAAGAGGAAGCTGTTAGTGCAAGCTTTAGCAGAATTTGATATCAAATCGAAAAAGGCAACAACTTTTTTAAACAGGGGACAACTAATGCTACAAGCTTCACATGACCAGCTCGTTGCAAAGGTGCGGTCAATTTTGGAGAACCAGAGTTGTGAGAATAACAGCATAGGTCACTAGGCTCAACCAACCGCTCCTAGTGCAGGTCCACAGATCTACCCACTACTGACTCTTTTGTTCAAAAAAAAAGTTAATCTGACCCTATTTATTGTTTCATGTATGAAGCCGATGCCAACGATCTTGACATGCATGATATCCATAACGGAGATAGCGTATAGTCTGAACATGTAACCGAGGTGCCAAATCAGTTTGAAGGTAGGTGAAATCAGATTTCTGTTGCTAATTGTATTGGTAAATGCCTGTTGCAGATCCTCATGAAACATGCAACTGCACTTATGTCTCCACTAATTTACATTTTTTTGTTTCAGGATATGTCACTAACCAACACATACACCAGGAGGCACATGTGCCACTGCAACAGAACAGTCCCACGAAGGCAGCGGCACCACAGCCCACTGATGCCACAGCGAATGCCGAGTCAGAACAGGAATTGGATCATGAACACTCACCGGTTTGATCTCTAGTTACCATATGTCCAATCACATTAAGATTGCAGTATATAACTATACTATTTACTATACAACTTTCTTAGTCAGTCAATAAACATGTGATTTTTGTATATGCAGGTTCACACGGATGTGACAATTGGTGATGTTGTTCCTCCAATTCTGGATCAGGCGACGAACAAACCAAGGAGGCACTGGACAAGCATCACAGATTGGCAGTATGTGTTTTCTTAAATTTGTTTGATCAAATATCATCATAATACTTACTTATATCAGCTGCAGGCCCCAACGTCAATGTTCATGGAGGAACCTCATCCCTGGATTCTCTAGTTGACCTCATTAGTGCATCTGTTATACCTATTGCCCACCCACAAACTACAACAACTGACACGATGACATCGAGAGGTTGTCAGTGCTTACTCGCACCCAACATCGCCTTCCGATGAGGTGCCTTCCACACGCTCATTCCCCCCTTATTGTAATTTTATCGAGCTGCTTACTACAATTTTACTATTTGGGAATGAGCATATATTCTACGACCTGATCCCACCATTGACGATGAACCCTCCTACTGCTGCCCCACCCACAAACTACAACAACCCGACACGGTGACATCGAGAGCTCATTGTGCTTATGCATGCACCCAACATCGCCTTCCTAATGAGGTGCCTTCCACATGTTCATTCCCCATTTATTGTATTTTTATCAAGTTGCTTACTACAATTTTACTTGTTTGGGGATGAGCACGTGTTCTACGACACGATAGCACCATTGATGATGAGCCCCTCCTACCTGCTACTGTTTATCCAAAACCACAACGCCTTACAAGATGCCCATCCAAGTATGTGTCGCCATTTAAAGGCGATCCAATGCGAACACGAGTACCAATGTCAAAGGCACTAGCTGTGAGGAAGAAGTTTCTCCCTAGTCTCAAGAGTTTAAAGTACGGCTTACGACCCCTTCTCAAATTTTGTATCATCCTACAAGTTACTGACGACTACCTTTTTCCCATACCAGCAGGTTTTCATTAGCACAGGGTTCATAGAATTCACTTTGGTAATGAAATATTAGATTCCTTCCCCGATGATCGAGAGCTTTGAGCAAATTTATGTCCTACCTTGTTCAATGCTTGAACCATGACGAATCAGTCCACATGCCTGATGGTGGTGGCTACAGGGTGTCCCTATCCCACCGGATTGGGGTGAGTCCACACAAAGAACACCATAACAACCGTGCCAACAAAATTTTAGCTTATTACTAATATGTCTCAGCTGTCTTTCTAGGAATACGTCAATATGGAGGATGAGGAGGAATTCGAACAGTGGGAGTTTCAAACTGCGCTTGAAATTCTAGAGAGTGACATTGCTGCTGTTGACACAACTAATGTTAAGCTAGTAAGTATTACTTCTCATTCCATGAAATGTATATTAATTACAGTTTTCTTTACTAATATCTTTTTGTGAATTGGCGTTCTTTTTGCCAATTATGGAGGAGGACCACTATATCTGCTTATCGCATCAACCTTATACATGACCGAATAGATATACTCAATTCTAGTCCTGATGACCATAGGCTTTACCATGAAGTTGTGGGAAATGCGAAGTATTCCAAGGCTCAATCTTTTTGTTCCAAGAGGCCACAGATGGTAAGTTTAAGTCGTTTACTCGATTCAGCGATCCATCCTACTCTGTTACCAATGCGCAATGCAATGCCACCGACAAAGGATTCTTTGCCATCAAATTCATGGAGTTATGGAATGGTGAATCTTTCCATCTTCCAATCCTCACGATGCGTCCTAACATTGTACTTACTTTGTCATCCAAGACTCTGCCTCGTGTTGCAATGTTGCCGATCTCCTTTCACCGCAAAACCAGGAAAATGCGGCAATGTATAGAGATCAGCTTCTCTACTACGCCATCTATCACCAAATCAACACTATTGAGAAGCTTCCTCACTGGACTAGAAGCACTCAAGCCACGTCGATGAACATCACGTTGGGACCATTCTCCTTTGGAATGCCGTAATAAATATGGATGCCTCGAGATCGTGTTTTTACTTCACCGCTATTGTTGGTCATCGATTTGAGCCAATTTACCAAAATCAAATTTGAGACCTCGTTTTCGTAGTTTCACTTCTTATACGAGATTCATTGTGTGACATATTTATCTGTACTCCAAACCTATACTATGGTCACTTTGTGTTGAAATCTACTATTTTTATTTGGATATTCAACTTTGTCAATTTTGTGGTTTACCAATTGTTAAACTATTCTCGTAAATCCATATCTTCATAGCACCGAATTCGTAAATATTATTGTGAGTTACGGCCGGAGCAGTATGCATTATACAAAATTCTCGTAAATATTCCCTATACAAGTTCCTAAAGATAGTCGTAGTCCAATTCTACCATGTTATCTTCTGACATCCAACCTCCTCAGTATGTGGTTCCTTGATATTATTAAAATATTCTCGTAAATCCGTGTGTTCGTAGCACATAAGTCTCGTAAATATTATTGTGAGTTCGGTTGGCGTAGTAGTCATGACACAAAATTCGCATAATTATTGAGTCATACTGATGTCATGTCGTAACTTTTACCAATGTCTCATCAGTCATATAGTAAATACTTATATTCATCAATCAAAATGGTCCTCGTAACTGTTTCTTGAATATCCAACTTGTCAATTGGTACGTGCTTTATTCTCCCTAGAATAAATTATTCAAATATGTTACCACATTCAAAACATTTTCAAAGATAAATTTAGATACAAATTCACAGAGACCACGTACCTCAAACTTAACCACACAATACTTATATATTATTACCACTTTTCATAGTACTTAATTATTCATACATCATTACTAGTAACGACATTTTAAACAAAAAAATTTCTGGGTTTGTGCACCAATCCACCCATTTCATGCGACATCATCAAACTCATCCTCCAATTGCCTTTTTGTGGGTGGCCTCCCTCTCTTCCGTCCCATTTTACCACGCAAACTACCACTGCCTCCTCTTTTCTTCGGAGCATTATCTGGGTTTGTAGGACATCCTGTAATATAATGGCCCTTCAATCCACAATGGGAACAAATGCGGGTGCCCCCTGACTTCTTGTTACAGGTCTCATCTCTTTCGGGCCTTTCCCCTCCGCGCTTCCTACCCTTTGTCATTGCCTCCCTCGGTGCACACTCTGATATCAGTTCATGGTTTATATTTGGAGGTGACTGGGGATCCAAACCAGTTTCAGTTTCCTCTCCTTCCCCAAATGTAGGAGCTTGATGTTCTTCTCTTACTATATTTGCCGCAACTCCTTCATTTCCATTGTCCCCAATCAATGTTGCTCCAGTATCTCTAGCAACGGATTCACCCCACTCAGCTAATGCCATGAAATCTTCACACCCTCTCTGAACTCCAATTTTTGTTTTGCGGAGTGCCCTTACTGCCATCATTGCAACTTCAACTAGCTTCTTGGTATTATACCGTTCATATTCACAGTCTTCTCCCAAATTCACAATGTCATTCCTGTCCCAAGTTACCATCATCCTAGGATCCCTGGTGTACCTCTTCTTTATATATTCTGAAGGTTTATTTTCAATTTGCGGGTATGTGAAAGCTTTAATAAGATGAGCACAGAACAACCCTGAAATGATCAATTTTGTACATATAATTAATACGATTACCATAACAATATAATGATGAAAATATACTAGCCTTACTTTACTAAAACACTATCTTACCGGTATGCTCCCATGTCTTGCACTCGTATGTGTATTTACCTTCTCTCACATTTGCCTCCACTTTGAAAGAATGTTGAAACCATGCATATTTCCAAGACTGATTCGTGTGGGTCACCAGGTAACTATCAATGTTGTCCACATCAGGATCAATACGAAATGCGGTACTGTATAAATAAGTATCCCTGTACTTTTTGTACCCAGCCCTTGTGTACACCCTGCTTAAATGACCATCAAAGAGTTGCAAGGTCACACAGAAATTATCAGCCTATTTCATATACAAACACACCAAACATTTAGTCAACATAAGCAACAGGTAAATCTTTATAGTATTTAGACAGTATTTATATACATACAAGTTGATACTAATTCAGTTTCAACAACTGCTTATGATCTTACCTGTGACCAATGTGTTTCTCCTGCCGCCGTGTGATTTGTGTGCTGAATGAACTCAAGCATCTTGCGTGCAAATTTGCTTATGCATGTCATATGACATGTGAAAAGCCTACTCTTGAGCATCTTATTCACACTTTCACTTCTTTGTGTAGAAGTCATCCTCCCACAATACAAGGGTTTCAGATAAGCCGCAACCCATAAGTGCCTATTCTGCCAAAGACCCTGAATAGCTTCATCTTCACGTATACCATATTCATCCACCAACGCATTCCATGCTGCCTCAAACTCTACAGGTGTAAGCGGGTGATTCATCACAGTGAGCAATTTTATCTTGAGACCCTCATGCAACTTGTATAGTTTATTCAGCTCGTTTCGATACTTATTCAGCATGTGCCAACGACACAACCTGTGTTGAGTTTTTTTAAACACCCTACTGATGGCTAAAGCCATGGCCGGATCCTGATCTGTACCACAAAACATGAAGTTAAAAATCATAACATACATCTACGAGATATAATCATGAGAATTTACGAGAAGTCAAAACATTTTTAAGACATATTTACAAGAATTTCCACTAAGAAGTATTTACGAGAATTGGCACCAAGACATATTTACGAGAATTTGCACTAAGAAATATTTACGATAATTTGGAACCAAGAAACATTTACGATAAATTGCAATAACAAACATTTACTAGAATTTTGTATCCTATCTTTGAGAAATATTTAAGAAAATTTTGTTTTCTAACCTGTGAGTATACATCTTGGATCACGACTCCCAGTCATGCACTTTTGGAATGATTTAAACAACCACTCAAACGTGTCAGCTTGCTCATCCTGCAAAAGTGCCTGCCCAAACACGACATTTTGTAGGTGATGGTTTGAACCGACAAACATAGCCACAGGCATGTTATACATATTAGTTTTGTATGTGGTGTCAAATGTGACAACATCTCCAAAATCTCTATACTCTGCACGCTGGCTTGCATGACTCCAAAAAACATTCTTTATAATGTTTTCGTTGTCCACCTGCACCTCACAGTAGAAATATTCATTCTGAGCCTTCATCTCCGAAAAGAACTCTAGGAGCTTGGGAATATCGTTTTCCCTCTCCGCCTTGGCAGCTGCAGCTATCCTGAAATCACAACATCAAACAAATCCATTTAAACAGATAAATTACCAAATGAGATGAGATGCTGTGAAAGTACTGTACTATCTACATTACCAATTTTTCAAGTCCATCTCTGTGAATGTGAAGTTTTGCCGACCACCATATATGTCTGACAACACATTAATGGTTGCATTGAGGGGTACATCACACCTCTGCATCTGATCAACAATCCCCATGATCGTTGGGTCCTTCTCCTTGTGCGCCTTCATGTATTGTGTTAAGCTTGGTGACGGATGCAGGGGGTGAGAGTGTTCCAACAGTATCCTCTCAAAAAACCAATACCCCTTCTTAATGTTCCATTTAACCTTCACAAATGTCATGCATCCACACCTCATTGACATTTTCTCTCTGACTCTATCCTCCCCGAGCTTGTAGAAATCCCAATGCCCTTGTTTATTGCAGTTCAACTCAATAACAGTTTTATGGCTCTTGGTTATGCGAACGTCGAATCCTGCTTTGCTCGCATATTTGTAGTAAAACTCCTTAGCTTCATCACTACTGTTGAAACGCAACTCATCGTTTGGCACCATTGCTTCAGGTAACAAGGGTTCCTATTTCACAGACAACAACTTTATGATCACACTGAACATTTACTAGTCATACAGTACAAATTATCCCAACATCGTCAATAGATTCTTATGTACACATAGTATATACCATTGTAATTAAAATTTTTCCACTATGATTACAGCAATTCATATCAAGAAAATTTACCACAATTGGCACAAAGAAACATTTACAACAATTTTCACTAATAATATTTACGAGAATCTGCACTACGAAATATTTTGTACTAATAATATTTTTTACGAGAATTTACACCAAGCATTTACGAGAATTTTCAGTAATAATATTTACGAGAAACTGCACAAAGAAATATTTACGAGATTTTGCGCATTAAGAAATATTTCGTAGACTGAATTTAAAAAACAGTACAAAGCAAATACTAAATAAAATATTTCTCCTTATCATACGACTTCCATGCTACTATTCGAAGCTAGTAAATATACTCACATGCATGTACGTTTTCTCCTTATCCGGAGTCACCATGGTTGCCGGCGATACTGGTTGAAGAGGAGTCACTGTAACTAATCTTGCTGGTGTAAGGCATGGCGATGGTGAAGAGTTGCTCGCTGCTGTCCCATTTGGCATCGGTGTCGTCACCGGCGGCGCCGACAACCCAACCTGCACCGACTCTGTTGACTGCTCTTCCTGGCCGCCATGGATGAACATGGCCGATGGAACTGATGAGTCCCCGTCCGGCGATGTTAGGCGACTCACGTATGAATCTAGAATCTGAATGGGTGCATTGGAAGAGTGCAATGGATGTTGGCTACGTACATGCAAGCGTTCGACGCCAATAATCAAGCACTAGTGCCGAAAAGTAGTAAATGCACCCACGCTCATCAGTTACCTGCGTGCATGCACTAGTGCTATGAGCGCTACTCACGCTAGGACTTCATGCGACGGAATTCTCTGACAAATACGATAAAGCAGCTGCCTTGACCGCACATAAATGAGCCATCATCAACGGGAAGTACCCGTCTCTCCCAGCAGCTCCGGTCATTTAGGTTCCAGTAATTCTCTGTACCGGTAGTTAAAGCTCCTAGCAGGTACGGTCAATAATTACTAGACACCGGATGGAATTACGGGAACCCACGAGCGCGCACCTGGATAGGCATAGTTGCCGGTGGATGGTGCGGTAGGACCGGCCTGGCTAAAAATAAGGTATTCTGTAGCTGGCTACTGGATAGGCGAGGAGGAAGACAGTGGCGAGGTGGAAGAAACGACTGACAGACGGGCCCGGGTCATCAGGGACAGGAGAGAGAGGAGAGGGCGGCGTCCGCACGCTGTTGGGCCGGAAGGTGGGTTGGGCCTACATGCCCAAAGGGAGGAGGGGAGCGGGCCGTTGGGGAGAGAGACAGGGGAGGGGAGGGGGAGCGGCCAGGCCTTGCTGGCTGCCAGCCGAGGGAAGGAGAAAAGGCCAGCGGGCCAAATACCAGAAGGAGAGTTTTTTTCCTTTTCCTTTTCCTTTTTCTTTTATTTCAAGGTATTTTCAAATCATTTTAAAAGCATTTGAAATCATTTTGAATTTTGGACAAAACCACTCATCACAAAAACTCCAATGCAGCAGCATGTATGCACAAGCATGTAACTAGACCTTATAGCTGATTTTAATTTAACAAAAGTTATCATTTCTCTAAGTTTTAATGCTCATATAAATACATAAATAAATCAAATTAACCTATTTTTAAATGATGCAAAATTTTGGGTGCTACTCCCTCTCTCTCTCTCTCTCTGTATAAACTTGTATGCATCCTCCGACGATGAGCGTACGTTTTTATCTAACGACCGGAAAATGCAACTCGCTTAATTACACACCAGTACACCACTCGACACAGAAAGCGGGAAGTCAAGTCTCGCCGCAGATATGATGTGCCATGCCGTGGTATGGCATTCACCCACTTGTGCCACTGGAACAATTGGTCATGCAACAGGGTCAATTATTTGAGCATTATTCACCAGTTAAGTTGCCTTCAAGCTAAGTGAGCAGTCGCGTAATTCTTGGTTCATTACCTCTAGACTAGACAGACACCTCGTAAGTAAACGTTATATATAAGCCGGATTGGGTCGGGTTGACGGGTAATTAACAGAAAGGAAACGAACTTTGGAACCGTTCATCTGCTCTGGACTCATCGTGCAGCTAGGCCAAAGTTCAACTCTCAACACTCTGTAGGTAACGAATCGTTGCTACTCTTACGTACGTACGTACGTACTCCTACTCCGTAATAAAAAAAGTCTCTATAGGCCTCACGGCCGCGTCATGACTGAAAAGAGTAGGTATTGACAACTGTATATTTCACCTGAAAAGAGTAGGTATTGACAACTGTATATTTCACCATCACTCTGCAGGTGAAAAAAAAGTGGTGCCATTCCGTTCATGTCACTTTCTCAGTGAAATAAATGAATAGAGGTACAATATATATATTATATAAATGTAATTGCGGTCAGCAAATCTAGGAGCGCAGATCTAGTAGCTCCGAGCTAGTGCGGTCTATCAGCCTCACGGCCCCGCGTCATGGACGAAACATCATCGGCACGACCACGAGCATCGAGCAAATCCTCGGCGGCGACGGCGGCAAGGCTAGAAAAGAACCTAAGCACGCCCTACTCCGCAATAAAAGTGTCTATCATCGTCACGGCCGCGTCATGACTGAAGAGAGTATATTTCACCGTCACTAAAAAAAAAGTGTCATTCACCGAATGTCACTTCCTCAGTAAAAGAGAATAGTACTAAAGGAGCGACGGGGCAACTCAGGCAACATAAATAAATAAATTTACATAGAGACATAATATATACTAGTAGTAAATATAATTGCGACCAGCAAATCTACGAGCCCAGCTCTAGCTCCAACGTACGCAGGAGTGACACCTTTTGCAGTATGTTCGGCTTTGGCTCAAACGATATACGATCGTGGATTATTATTGTTAACTGGTTTGGTGTGGGAGAAAAATATTGTTCTGTCTGAAAACTTACGATCGTTTACGATTAAGCGAACAAGTTGTTGGTTGTTTGTTCCCAAATCCCAATTCCATTCCATTGTAGTACGATCCGAACGAGTGCGGTCTAACCGCCTCGCGGTCACGTCATGGACGACACCGTTCGCTTATCTTATGAGCTGTATTTTTTCAACGAACGAACAATATTTTTCTCTCACGATAAATCAGTCTCAACTATTTTTTACGAATAGGACATCGCTACCAGCATCGAGCAAATCCTCGGGCGGCGCCGGCGTGTCATATTTATCTCATTGCATCAACTGTCCCTCGTCGATGCAGATGCAAATGCAATTGCAATTAGGAGTACGTACTATATGTATGCAAATGCAAAAGCTTGGCCGCACCGGGCGTTTGTCCCCCGTGCTCGGCGATCGCGAACTCCACTCACTACTCTACTCCTAGTCGGCTTGGCTTTGATCAAAAAGAAAAGTTGGCTTTGGCTAGTAAAATGGGAGCACTTTGTGCGGCGACGCCTGATCGATCGTACCACCACGGCTCCACCACACGAATATACGGTGGCCATCCCATCACTGCTTCATTATGCATGACGCGGCTCGATTGATTTGGCCGTGTGCGAGATGCCCTCCCGTACACCACTGCCTCCTCATGCGTGCCTGACTTCCATTTGCTGGCAGTTGTTTAGGGAGACCCTGACCTGGTGGTGTTCTGGTCAAGGTCACGGGAGGACCGTGGGGGGCCCCATCCACAGAGAGAGACAGGGAAAGAGACACGCCACGTTTAGGCTGGTGATGTCCGTGCTACCGGCTGCATGTGACGCCAGCGGCCTGAAGATAGCGTCGTGATGTCACCGGACGGTCCCCTAGCTCCCGCCCTGATTTCCGTGTCGCGGCCGCGGGAGAGACCAGACCATCATTGTGCTTCCGGATTTTCTAGCTCGCCCCGCTCAAAAAATCGTGTGGAACTGGGGAAGTTGCGGAAAAGGAAATCGTTGCGGGGAATTCTCCCCGCCCGGTGTGTGTTAACAGGTCAGGGAAGCAAGCACCGCGAACAGCGCCGCCGCGTGTGCGTGTGGTGGTCGATCGAGTTGATGCAGTCATACGAAAAGAATTCATCAGTTTTGGTCCTCTGAACAACAATTATTGATCGTGCATTTCAACGACTACATCATGTGACTTGCGACATGGACATTACTACAAAACAATCTATGCTAATATAATATTTTTTGATATAAATAATATGGTATGGCACCGACAGCAGTCTTCATGTTCCAGGAAGCTTGCAGGGAGGATCTATGTAGGTACTGTATCGATATGGGATTAGCACTGTACCTAACCTAGCAACTTTACAAAAGCAGGTTGCTGTGCTGCGAAATTGCAAGGTACTTACTGGTACTATAGAAGTTATGTGGAAATAAGCGTCATATTTACTTGGCTTATAAGCTATACTTTTTTAGCCAATGAATAGTATTTTTCTCTCACAATAAATTAGCCAACAGTACTTTCAGCTATGCTTTATCAGCTAAACGAACAGGACAAAGGTAGAAACATGAGGGGCATTTTGCTAGCCTTTCGCACCATTGGCGAATGGCGATGCCTTTGGAAATTTGAGTGATTCCCGACCAAGCGCGTGCCAGCTTTACTCTATTTTTCACGCAGTTTGTCCACAAAGTTGCATTCTCTTGGCTGGGGTACCGTCCTTCCAAGGAATCGAGAAATCTAAGGCAAAGGCGGGAATAGCAAATAATAATACGATGACTAACCGTACTGGCAGATTCGGAGTCTCGCATTTTAGTCGTTTATTTGAAAAAAAAGGCCAAATGAGACTAATCTGCAGTCAGTCACTGTGGTAGTGTGGTTAGCTTTTGGCCTTCCGTGTCCACCAGTGGCCTCCTCCACTGGGCACTTTACAGTACTAGCTACGCTACCAAAATGGCATCATCATCAGCGCTTCCTGACGAGAGATGAGATAATGAAAAAGACAAATGGAAACAGAGCTATATCTAGAGTTTCCCTTAATCTTCCAAGTAACTAGCATCGATCCGCTTGTTTGTAATGTAACCACTGCCTTGTTCTTCTTCAACTACAAGCACGTTCGCGGCTGTAGCAACACCACAGTTGCCGGCGCCGAAAGCTACTTTTCTTGACTAATGGGGAAAAAACGCGATAAAGGAAGAGGCAGCACAGCTCGCGGTCGTAGTCGTGGAGGAAGACGTTCGGCGTTACCCCTCCTAAAAGTAGTTTTAAGCTAAAATCTAGATAGAATTTGTCTAGAGAACTAAACACCTTCTCTTAAAAAGCCTCCTTAAAATTTTAAGAGGGGTCAAAAACTTTATAAGCTCCACCCCCTCCTAAAAGCTCCTAAAGTCCATCCTGAACCCCCACTGCCCCTCCTTTATTGCCCTGCCCCCCCTCTCTCTCTCCCACCCTCCCTCCCACCCGAGCCTCCACAGTCGCGGGGAGCGGAGCTGGGGCGCCATCGCCGGAGGCGCTTGGGCTGGGCACGCCAAGCCAGGCGAAGCGGTCGCCGGAGCTGCACAGGTGCGGTTGCTTTCGAGCTCGTGGGCGGAGGAAGCCGGGCCACTGATCGCCGAGCTCGTGGCGCGCGCCTTCCCGGATGTGGGTGCCGTCGGGGCTGCCTTGGCCATTGGGCACGGCAAGCAGCGTGGCCGCCGGCGCGCTTGCGTCGCAGACGCCACGAGAGCACAAGCCGCCATACGGCTGGGGCCTACGAGCCTCTGCAGACGAGCGTGGCGTGTGCTGCCGCCAGGCCCCGCATGGGCGCCGGTCATGAGCGGCGTGGATTGCCGAGATACTGGCGTAGCCACCGATGGCGCGTAAGCTGCTGACTACCGGCGTCGTCGAAGCGGAGACGCCGCCGCCGAGGCACGGGACCGGGACTCCATCGCCAGCGTCGACTGGGCTCGAGGCTCGGGCCTGAAGCGCGGCTTGCCAGACGGGACACACACCGCCCGGGGCTTGGGCGTTAGCCGTCGGGCTTCCCGTTTCTTTTTCCCATGGCCGTAGGAAGAAGATGGCAAATAGAGAAATAATGGACAAAGGCTAAGGGGCGGCCCCCCGCCGCCACCCATGCTCCTCGACGGGCAGGGGGAAGGCCGCGACCAAGACGAGGCGGCGGCGCGTGGTGGAGCTGCTCACGCTCCCGTCCGTCGAGATGGCCACCTCCGCGGAGACGGCAAGGAGGAGGAGAGCGAGGGCCACGACGGGAGCAGAGAAGAAGCAGGGGTAAAGAGGAGGGCTGCATGGTCTTTTTACTAGTGTATTTATTGCTTTTAGTCAGTTTTAGGAGGTGAAACCAAACACTCTTTTAGAAGATTTTGGTAGCCTCCTAAAAGCTTCTAAAACTTTTAGCTCCTAAAAATTTTAGGAGACGAGACGTGCCGATGCCACCCCGTCGTGACGCACGACCGGCATGCGGAAACGCCGCTGCGTGACATCACCGACGGGCAGCCTGCCCGGGGGGAGTACGACTGCCCCCATCCCGTCGACATGCTCACGCTGCAAGGCACGGGCATGAGGGATGGCTCACCAGTTCAGACGCGCGAGGGGAAGCACAGGATGACAGGAAGGAGAGTAAGGCTACTGATGTTTTGCAGCACGAGGGTTTTTATTCTTGCCTGGACATAGCATAGCACAGAAGCGCGTGATATAAAAGCGGTGGCCCTCTGTTGGAATCAAAGCCGGGCTCCATCTATTGGTGATTGATTGCCAACGAGTTCTGACCCTGCGTGGGTGTGACTCTGTCGCGCACAAGCACAAAATGCGGCGGCTAGCCGGTTCCATTTCAGGTGGGTCCAAAACTAGACCTTAGCATATCGGGTCCCGGCCCAGACCCGGTTGGCTAGGATCGGGCTAGGGCGACGACACATCAAAAACTCATTGCTCAAACCCAGGCCCAGAGTCAAAGTCAAGCATTGGTCAGACAGTGCACTAAGGGGAAGGAAGCCATTTTTCTTTCGGTAACAAGAAGCAGAGGAGCCGGAGCCTGTTTTAGATGCTAAGCAGCCCGTGAAGCCGTGCCAAATACCCCCTTAAACTTTCGTATAAGTGATGGCCCCGCAAAGTGCAGACTACAACTTCTTCAATAGTTTTATTAGGTGCAACCAACCAATGACAACCCGCGACCAAGTAAATATGTGGAAGCAATCATATACGACACGAGCTGCAAACCTTTTTGCCAAAATTATTCACGCTACTATATGAAGTAGCGAGCTTTGTTGGTTTAATTTGGTAATGGGGAAAGACTGTATAAGATGTACTAGATGACAACCGTGTGCGAATGTCATCGAAGCCATGGAGTAGCTAGCAGACCTAGAAGACACACCGAGATTCACCGCTACACCAACCTCATTGTTCTCATTGCAATCTCTGAGTTGGGATGTACAAAAGATAGTGTCGGGGACTAATATTAGGGTACCCGAAGAGGAGGAGCTAATGATCGTCAACATTGATTCATCCACGCGATCGAGAGCGTGACTACACCACTTACCGGGTCACTCCTTGTCCGTCCACCGAGACCATGGGCCCTGCCTCAAGCTGACCCCCGAGGGCTGGCTCCGCCTCGCCCGATGTCTGAGGGCAGACTCCGTCTCGCCCAACCCCCGAGGGCTGGCTCCGTCTCGCCCGACATCTAAGGGCAGGCTCCGTCTCGCCCGACCCCCGAGGGCTGGCTCCGCCTCACCCGATGTTCGGAGGTTGGCTCCGCCTCGCCCGACGTCCGGGACCTGGCTCCGCCTCGCCCGACGTCTGCGGGCAGACTTCGCCTCGCCCGACGTTTGCGTGTTGCTCCTTCATAACTACGTGCGCAGATAAGGCAGGGTACTCAAGTCAACCGCAATAACGAGGACCATACCCTGCACGCCTACAGGAAGGTACCGTCAGGATATGACAAGACGGGAGCTTTAAGCCCTTCCAGGCATGTCAGAGCCCAAACAGTATTGTAGGCGCCGACATTTGTCTTACAGTGTTGTGGGCGCCGCCATTTGCTCTCGGGCGCGGATCCTGACGAAAGCATACGACAACCACTACGGTCCAGGAGGATACTCGCATCATCTACATATGGCGGCCGTGTGTGGTCACTGCGCCGTCTGCTCCCCATAGAGTCGCGGATCAGAACCCTGGTCCGTCGCGCCGACCGCCGGAGCAGAATGGGACGTGACCACTTGCTGACAAAGCCAGAACGTGGCATCATCAATGGACAGATGCCCAGCGTGGCCCTATCAAGATCAGCGGACATGCACCCAGCATGGAGCTACCCCTGGCACCATCTACCGTGTCAGCGGGTTCGCTCAAAGGAAAAGGAAGACCCGGCATCTTTGAAGGACCTCCTTTGCCTCTGGTATTTCTTCTTTCTCCCATCTGTAATCCCTGCTTTCCCTTGGTCTATAAAAGGGAAGGCAGGACACCCCACTAAGGGGACCGATCGATTCAACACACCACGCATCACATCACACATAGCTGAGCAGCGACCAAGCTCTCAGCACCCATTTGACCTTTCCATCAGAGACTTTGGACTTTTTTCCTCTCTCTGCCCGTTTGTAACCCCTACTACGAACTTTTTGGTGCTAATAACACGAGCAGCACCCACGAACTGGATGTAGGGATATTCTGCCTGAACCAGTATAAACATTGTGTCCATTTAGCACACCATCCGGGTCAGACGCATAATAACACTAATTTACTCGTTGGTGTTTACTCGAAACACCGACAGATAGCCCGACAAATCTTTCACACAACGATAAATAGTACTTTCTATGGGACATTGAACTTTAGCACTCGTCGGCTCGGTATAAGTTAGGCTTAACTTTGAGTCCACCATGTGGTTCAACTTTTAAACCATGCTTTTGTCTATATGAGATATAATAATCAAGGACAAATGTTGATGCGTATTTTTGGAAGCATTCGTCGATGCTGAGTTGATCAATATGACCCAAACTTTGCCGCTTTAATTTGCTCATTAGGAAAACGAAACAAGCTGACAAATGTGTGTATACGATACCGTCGAAGTCATCGCCTAGCTAGGACAAACTTTTACACAAAGGTTTTGAAGAAAATCGCAGATGATGATATCTTTGACAAACTTTGTTGTTTGGACTTCTATTATTCTATAATGAAAAAATGGTACAAGATGACAATTGTGTGTATGCCTACCATATGGCATCTAAGATGGTTGATGTATAAAGATAGAGAATGCGCCAACAATGGAAGTGATAAAGAGAGATCATTTTTTACCATTCAAGAATTTAAATGAATAACATCCGGAATCTATCTAACAAAATGATATGCAAATGTTTTATTTAAAAATTAGGAGTTTGTCTGTTGAATTTTAGATTTACGACAAGTGGTGGTGCATTCAAATGGATAATTATGAAGTTGGCCATCATTGTACAGAAATATATGTGGCTGCAAACACATGATTATAGGACCAATAATGCTTTATATGGTACACTACAATCAAGTGTTGGTGTACCTGGTAGACCCGATGATTAATTCCCTTTCTTCTGTTTTGCACGGCCTACTGTCTTTACATGGTGTATATTAAAGCTTCTTTCTTTCAATGAGATACACCCGAGGACAAACAATGACGTGTAGCTTATGGACGATGCCAGCTTTGATGGAGAAACGCCTTGCCACCATTTTTTCCACGCTACACAAAAACACCGAACTTTGTCGCTTTATTTAGGCCCCTTTGCACGGCTCATCTAAAACGGTTTTATTGGTGAAGTCAAAGCCGATGAAGGCAGAAAAACTGATTTTTTTCCGGCTTCTAGTTCATTTTAACTCCGGCTTACAAAACGGCTTTACGCTACAGTGACTCGATTTGCGCAAAATAGATGAAGCCGAAGCCGGTATAAGCCGTGCCAAAGAGGCCCTTAATATTATTGAAAAACACCGTACTTTTTCAGCCAACGAACAATATTTTTTTCTCATAACAAATCAGCCAACAATACTTTCAGCTATGGCTTATCAGCCAAACGAATATGGCTAATATATGCAAATGTATGTTTATGAGAACAATAGTTTGTCTAACAGTATATGTGTAAACAATTGGGCCCTCACGGGAGAAGTTTCAAAGGAAAAATATTCCGCATGCACTTGGTTGCCTTATAAACCAGCAGCCCTTTCTTTTCTTCCAAAAACACTCGTGAGCCACCAAAACCTTCCTATGCCCGCTCCTCCCCGCGCACTGCTCAGCTCAGCACGCTGTGAGACCATGGACGCGACCACGGCCACCGCCAAGCGCAAGCGCCCCGACACCGACATCACCGGCGACGCCGCCGCCGCCGTCGACGAGGCCTCCGACGCCGAGGTCGAGGAGTTCTACGCCATCCTCCGGCGCATACGCGACGCCTCCCGCCGGCTGTGCGGCGCCGGCGCCCTTCCTGCTGCCCCACGCACACCGGCGTGGCGGCCCAGCTTCTCCTGGGAGGACTTCGCCGCCCCTCCCGCGCCCGCGCCCGCGCCCGAGGCGCCGGCGCCGGCGCAGCCGCGGCCCGACGAGCCCGTCCCCGTCCCCGCACCCGCCGGAACCGAGCGCGCTACCGCCCCGTCGCCGCGTGCCAGCCTCGACCTGAACGCGGAGCCGGAGCCAGAGGCACCCTCGGCGCCGGCCACCCCGCGCTCGGCGCGCGTCCCGGCGTAGCGCACGCCGCACCATCAGTTCATCACCTGCCTGCACCGGGCCAAGGAGAGGAGAGTCGTAGCGCGGGGCCGCTGGGTGCGCGCGTCATCACGTGCCTCAGCTTCGCTGTTGGGTGGTGGTGCCGGCCCGGTGAAGAGGTGATGTCAGCCGAGACCCGACGGTGGTCGCCATCGTCGGCGGGCGGCACAGTGCGCACCTTCCTTCTTTCTCACTGGAAATGACGTGTTTAATTATTCGTTGCGTTTTTACAGTATGTATCATTAACCTATGACTGTTAACGATGGCGTGGGGGCTTTATTAGTTTTATATTGTTATATACTTTATATAATACAGATTTTGGACTTGAATGATTGTTTGTTCGTAGGCTTGCCTCATTTCTACTGCGATGAACAAACTGTACTCCTTTTCTTAAGGATTTGGAAGGTTAAATACTAGTACTAGTATAGGTTAGTGTTTTGTCTGGAGAAAGAAGAGTACGTCTATTCCATCCTGTATTATTCCTGTAAACCTGTAAAGGACAAACAAGCTAGAAGCCACAATTAACCACTGAAGTGTCTAGCTACTTGTATGTAGTTGGGTCAAACAAGACTGGATATAATTATGGTATTAGTACACCAGGGAAGACTTGTACGCTACCCGGAATGCTCCTTATGCTGAAAAGAAATCATCAGTATTTTTTTCTTCATGAATTATAACCTGGTGTCCCACTGACCCATGTGAACAAGGCACTCAGCTCTTGACTTTGTAGGCACAATATTATTGTACGTAGACTTGGATGGCTGGGTGGCTCGGCACCCTACCAGTACCTGCTCCTGCTATAGTGTAGTGCTATGCCGTGGCCGACGCCAGCAGACACACGTCGCCACGTGACGCCAGCCGGTGGCCGTATGAGTAGCTGTGCCCCGGCCCGTGCGTGCGTGGCGCGCGAGGGACATGTGGACACACCGGTGCCAAGCGGAGCCGAGACGTGATGCCTGAGGTGAGGTGTACGTGCGCCGTGCGGGCCGTGCTCTGCCTCTGCCTGCGCTGCGCCCGCGCGCTCTGCCCGTCCCGTCCGCGGGTTTTTTATTATATATATATTTTTTTGATAATAAATGGCAAATAGATTAGCAGCAAGAAGCTGCAATGATGGTGATGTTATCACCAAGTACAGTGTACAGAGTTCAGACCCACCATGGAGGGGCAACTGGGTACATGAGCATGATTGGAGCAGGTAAACTGCGATCCAAAGGATGTTGTAGATGATGAGTTGAAGGCCTGACTGGCTAGGACGTGTGATGTGGTGTTAAGCTTCCTTGGGACCTTGAAGATCTTGGCATTGTTACTTGATGTATGATTAATGAAACGCTGAGTGAAGAGCTAGCTTGATGTCCCAGCGAGGTCGTTCCCGTTGAAGAAAGTCACGAGCTGTTGATTGTACGTTAGAAAGAACGGGCTTTAGATGCCAAGTGCGGAGACAATCTGGTAAGGCCGCAACTTCAGCCATTAGCACAGAGGTTGAGCCGCTAAGAGTTTGCGCTGCTTTGATGTAGATGGCCGCAGGCAGATGGGCTTGATTGTTCATGTGTCTTGGTACTTGCATTGGAGAGTCTGGGGTTGTAGCCGCGTCCCTATAGCACCTTGTGCACGGGAGGGGTACCGGCACCAGAGCTCTATACAGAGGCGGTCCCGGTAGTGCCGAGGCAGGAACCGGCTGGTGTTCAGCATCATTATGTGTGCTCCCTTCATTCATTCATTGATCCTGTAATGAAAAATCTGTTACCTTGACCAAGCAGTCGACGGCCTGCATGCTGTTGCCAGCCGCATGCCTGAGCTGGTTGCCTTGCCTGTCGCTGGCACAGGAAAAGGTGGCGGGAGGTTCATGCCACTGTCGGCTGCAAGCGTGTTGTGTTTGTCAGTTAGTGTGCCCAAGGTGGTGCCTGTAATGGTCGGTCCTTGATCCCCGCCCTGAACGGGGACACCCAACTGTTTCATGGTTCGTGGGCCTCGTCGCACAACGTCATAAAAAATGAAGGTGGGGGCCGGGGCACAAGATACGAGGTTTATCTGAGCCGCTAGACGTCCCACCTACAGTCTCTAAACCCTAACCGATCTAAGAGGAGGTGCTGCCAGCGACGGAAAGACCGCCACCGGCCACCGCCGTCTCTGCACCGTCGCCACCATGACAGCGCCTTCACCGTCGGGCTTCACCGCGCCACCGTCAAGCGAAGGCAGCCGATGGTTTGCACCTCCTCAACCCCTATCTCTCTCTTACTCCATCTGTTAATTTCTAGGGTTTACACTTCATCAAATGTCAGTAGGTGTGCTAGATCTATGGCTAAATTCATGCTCGGGTTGAAAGTGGTAGACGACATATATAAACCACTCAAGTTATACTGCGATAATAATCCAGCAGTATGTTATGCTCACAACAATAAGTCAAGTGGTGCTGCCAAACACATTGACATAAAGTATTATGTTGTGAAAGACAGTCTGAGATCATATAATTAGTCTTGATCATATAAGAATAGACAAGATGCTCGTGGATCCACTTACAAAAGTCTTACCACCCGGCGTGTTCAGAGAACACTTAGTCAGCATGGGTTTAAGGGAAAGCCTATGATTCCTCGAACAATAAGGGCCTAGTTGAGAATCTGTTTTAAAAACAGAGAGGTGCATTGTACCTGTTTAATCTAATGGCAATTGACCGTGACGATGAGGCACGCTCTATGCACTGATCTGTGATGGAATGGGAACAAGATTAAGTAAGTTGAGTTTAAGTCATAAGATGAGATCAATGGGAAGAATGTTAGACAATCTCCACCAATTGGTCCAACGGACAATTGGGCCCTTGGATCCACGCCCGGATTGAGGGCGCCCAACCGTTCCATGGTTGGTGGACCTCCGTCGCACAACGCCATAAAAAAGGGAGGTGAGGGCCGGGCCATAAGATACGAGGTTCACTTGAGACGCCAGACGCCCCACCTACAGTCCCTAAATCATAATCGATCTAAGAGGGGGTGCTACCAGCGACGGGAAGACCACCACTGGCCACCGCCGTCTCTACACCGCCGCCACCACGATAGCGCCTTCACCGTCGGGCTTCACCACGCCACCGTCAAGCAACCCCATAGCCAGCTTGTCTTCTACGAAGGCGGCCAATGGTTTGAACCTCCTCAACCCCTATCTCTCTCTCACTCTATCTGTTAATCCCGTACTAGTACATGTTCTAGGGTTTACACTTCATCAAATGTCAGTAGGTGTGCTAGATCTATGGCTAGTGATCCTGTGACATTCTATCAGTGAGTTCATAGTTGAAGCCCTGGAATCGGTCCAAAGAACGGCCGCCTGCAAAGGCGCTCGCTGGTGTCTGCTGCATGGCTGCTATGAAGGGCCATCTTAGAGGGGAGTGCAGCCGGTGTGACGTCTAGGGGTCTGTGCCACGAAGGGGCCCATGAGTACATCTATGTATATAGTATTTTAGTAAATATATTTGGCATATTGAAATAGAAATTTAAAAGTCCATACACGTAGCACAAGTCTAAGATTAAGGAATTAGCTTGTCATCGCTTCCTATTCAGATATTTAGCTATCCCCGATCGCTAACCGATCCTTATCAAGCAATTGTTTCGCCTCCCAATTGCCTAGCCTAGTTGCTAAACACAATGACGCTGCTTCGCGAGGCGAGACATCGTCGTGAAGCCATGACACGCCGATGCCACTCGTTCACACGCGATGAGTGACAAGCCCCACTTCCCCATGAGAAACCTATGTTGCAAATTAACTCTCATTATTAGTACTATATACTTTAATCATCATATTAAAAATTAGATTACTAGACCCTTACTATCTTGCTTGCCTAAGGACCCTTGGAATTTTTGAGACGGCCCTGCTGTTGTGTTTGAGCACCCGAGGCGCCGATGGATGTGAGAGCCAGCAATCGAGCTCCTGGGCTTGGTGAAGAGGCACCCCTATTCTTTGTGGCAGCTGTTCATTTGCTTGTGCTTCGTGCGTTGTCCGGTCGCCATCTTTGTGTTGTTCGTCATCCTGCCATACGGAGTACTCCCACTGTCCTAGAATAGAAGTCATTCTCGCTTCCCGAGAATTCAACTTTTTTTAACTTTGACCAATTATATATAAAAGAATATTAATGTTTATAATGTATAATTAGTATCATTAGATAGATAGTTGAATATACTTTCATAATAAACTTATTTAGAGATATAAATGTTGCACGTATTTTCTACAAACCTAGTCAAAGTTGAGAAAATTTCATATGCACGCATCCATAATGTCTTTTAATACCCAGGGGTTATCTAGCCATCGCGGATTGGGTTTTTTTTGGACGAAGGGAGTAGAGATGTGGGTAGTTTTGATTTCCGCGCCCTGGAGTTCTGTACCTGCCATACCGTCCATTTTCTTTTGTTGTTGCGTCTGTGGGTTTTGGGTGCCTGTTGGGTCGCCAGGCACCGGATACATGGACATGCTATTGCCAAAGTGAAGCGAGGGACATGTGGACTGTTGGTATATTTAACGCATACAGATAAATCCACCAGCGCACGGATACCACTGTAGCTTTCACCCAGAAGTGCTCCAAGTATCGTATCCACAGGGAAACGTGTGAGACTAACTACGATCTAACTTAACTAGGGGTAGCAATAAGGTTAAGATAAATAGGAGAGTAGAGAGGAAAACTAAGGTTCTCTAGTTCTAACTTGGGTAAGCTATGTCTTCTACTATTCAACTGGGGACATTACTTAAGGAAATACACCAGCAGAGGATGCTTCCCATAGTAACCGTGTCCTACTTTCCCTACAAACGGGTGGTGTATTCAACGAGGCTATAAGAGTCACCCTCACGAGCTACCACCGATCCGAAATGCAGGATGCATCCACAAGTAACCAGAATCTAAGCACCATGCTTACACTAAAATTACTACTTTACTCTTCCTGGATAAAGAATAAAGCACTCAAACAAGTTGTGAACCAGATGAATAATATAAACAAGAAGCTTACGTGAAT